CAGCAACCAAGAGACGCAGCCAGTGCCAGCAGTGCCTCCTCAGGGGGCCTGGGGCTGGTCTGAGCATCCTGAGGGGATGAGCCTGGAGCCATCCCTGTTAGTACTTGAACTTGGAGTCATCAGACCCTGGGCACTGAGTGGTCCTGGTTAGTACATATGGCCTCTGTGGGCACCGTTTCTCACTTGTAAAATGAGGACAGTCGTACCTTCCCAGACTTGTGAGAATAAATCAGACAGGAACCAGATGTTACCCATGCCAGCTGCAGGACTAGCAAGTTTTGTTGTGGACACTGTACCTCTGAGATCACCCTGAGTCCTGAGCCATCTCCTTGTTGTCCTGAGGAGCCTCTGCCTCAGGCTGGGCCCCTAAGGAGGTGTTTCGGGGCAGAAGCCCTCGATGCCAGGTGTGCCCCGCCAGGGGCGGGAGAGCGTGTGCCAAGACAGTTATTTTCCTGGGTGCATCGATATCGGAAACACCAAAGGACTACAGAGCTCACCCTGGAAACACTGGCTGGAGGGAGCCTTCAGGCCCTTCCTGCGGGATGAGGCTGTTTTCTCATTTTGCAGAATATTTCCCCAGCACCGTCGTCGAAGTGGTGCAGGGAAGTGAAGTGAGAGGCGAGCAGGGTGTTGGCGACTCGAATTCCAGTTCCGTGGCCTCGCGCAGTTACCTCCCCCTTCTGGGCCTCAGTTTCCCCTGGGGCAGGGACAGCGGTGGCACCGGCTCCCCAGGCTACTGTGAGACCGACATGAGCTAATGGGCACGGAGCCGCGGGCAGTGAGAGGGCAGGACAGGCCGGCGCCGCTGCGGCCGGCGGGGCTGACCCCTGTCCCTCCCTCGCAGCGCCGAGCCCGCCCTGGGCGGGCGGGGAGGGCACCCTCTCGAGGCCGAGCAGGGTGCCGCTGGGGAAGGACGGCTGCTTCATCGCTACGGTGCGCCTGGCAACACCGCAGTTCCTAAAGGCAAGTACCCGGGGGAGGGCTGGCCCGACGGGACTGTTACGTTGAGTCCCACCGACTCACGCTTAATTAGCTGCTGGGAAAAGTAAACTTACAAGACCGTTGTCCCAGACTGAAGATTGTAAGCGTCTGCTTTCTTTACGTGTGGCAGCCCCGCCTGCCGTGCCCCCTCCGTTCCCGGGCGCCCTTCTGCTTGAAGGTGTCGGTGCTCTCGGCCTTGGCGGGGCTTCTGCAGAGTCTGGGCGCCTCCCTGCCTTACACAGCAGCTCCACCCCGACCCCGGGCTGCTGAGGGTTGTCTGTATCCTCTCATCTGAGTGCCTTACCACCTATGGCATAAACGTTGAGTTAAATTAGTCATTCAAATACAGATGAAAAGCCAGTTTCCACCTGTTTGCCACACTTCCAGATAATGGGAAGGCCGTGTGTGACATTTTGACTCCTCGTTATTTCTGCCCAGCTTGTGAAATAAATTTAGTATCAGCTGATACCCAAATTAGCTACCGATGGTGAGTCTCAGTCCCACACAATATGCAGAGTTGCTCTAAATAGTTCTAACTTCTGCCACCCGGGGCCTTGTGGAACAGCCCAGCACCCCGAGCATCTGGCACCCCGAGCAACACTTTTTTTCCTTCTAACACAGGAAATGTGCATAGTTGACGAACCTTTAGAGGAATTCACTTCAAGGCATAGCTTGGAATGGAAATTTTTATTTCTGGATCACAGGTTTGTGAAAAGAAACACATTTGGGTTGGGTTCTAGTCCGTGTTTGTTTGTGTGAGCCATGCCCGCCTTGGGAGAAGAGGGTGGGCCTGGTCCTCTCAAGAAGGAAAAGTGTTCCCAGCCCAGGGTGAGGCGAGGGCCTGTGCTGGGTGAGACCACAGCAGGAGAGCCAGCCGCCTGGGCCCTGGGGTCTGTGGAATACAACCCCACCCCACCCCACAGCCCCGGACCCTCCCCAGGTCCCAAGGAGGCAGGAGCCGTCCTGAGAGAAACTCATTTCTTCCAACACCCTTTTGTCTCTTTAGCCCAATCTTCTTTTGTGGCATTTTTCAGTTTAAGAACTAGCAATCTCCCCTCCCCACCCTCTAATTTTTTATTACACTTTGGAGTTACGCCGACCCAATCTATAGCTGTTTTTAATTATTTAGTAGTGATAAAGTCTGTTGTGATTTGGGCCAGATTGTGCTATGGGAACTGAGTACCTAAATGCCAAAGAAAACTTCGGAAAGCACAGTCTCTGGGTGTCACCCGCCCACTGCAAAGCTTTTTTCCTGCCCCTGCTCTTGAGAAACGAGGCCTCCATGTTGATCCTTAAATGTGCAAACTGTACCCTCCACGTCGAGGCGCGGCCACCAAAGTGAGTCCTTTCTGATGAAGTATCCCATTGTCTTCGGCAGAGCCCCTCCGATCATAGGATACCTGCCTTTTGAAGTTCTGGGCACCTCAGGCTATGACTACTACCACATCGACGATCTGGAGCTGCTGGCCAGGTGCCACCAGCACCGTGAGTACTGCTCCCCCAGCCCGGCGCCCGGGGCTCCCAGCTCCGTCCACACAGCCTGGCGTGGGACTCACCGGGAAGTCTGCTTACTCCTCGGCTTCTCGGGGTGGCGCAGGGCTGTGCTGGGGCCTTGTCTGCATTGCCCTGTGCGCATTTTCTCCTGGGATGGACTCTGCTCTGCCTGGCTGCCCCCAGCACCTTCCCAGTGTCCCTCAGATGCTCAAGCTGTTTAATCTTACTTAAGAACTGTAAGGGGTGCTGGTCATTTTTTAAAATTATGAAATATAGTATTTCAAAGACAAAATGCTGAATTCACATCACTGTTCCTTACCCGGCAGACATGTAGTGGTCACAGGCCAAGGGCCAGGTACTCAGCTGGGCCCAGGACACAAAGGTGATCGGCCTCTCCTTGCTGATCTGCAGGAGCAAGGTCCGATGCAAAAGCAGAAATAGACGCTTAATAGGATGTTGTTGAGGCATCAGAGGGGATATACTCAGGATCCTGGGGGGCTCAGAGGAGGGTCCCTCGCCCACCTGAGGGAGGGCGTCAGGAAGGCTTCTGCCACAGAAGGAGAACACTTGGGAAAGGTATGGGAGGCAAGCACGCCTGGGTTCTCACTTAGCAGGAGAATTCAGAAATTAACTGTTTAAAGCCATGTTTTTGGTGCCAAGTCCTTGCTTTGAACGGGAAAATTTGTGGTAACGTTGACCTGTGGACCAGACCCATGGGCGACTCTAGCGCTGCCCTTTGGCAGATGCCTTGTCCGTGGTGCCCACCTAACCTGCTCGTCTCTGCTGCCTGCTCCAGGAAGAGGAGGCTTGAGTTTCCTCAGGACCCCCGTTAGGTGTAAGGCTGAGCTCTAAAGCTCTGCCCCTTGCTCCTCAGAGGTGGCCGTGAGCGGCCACGTGGCATCAATAGGAGTTTTCTAGACTTCTGACCCTCAGGCTCCCGGCCAGGCTGCGGGGATCAGCAGAGCCCCCAGGCCTGGTGGGCACAGGAAGCTGGAGGAGCAGGACTCCTTCCAGCCCGGCTGCCTCCGACTCTCGGGGAGAAAGGCCACGAGAGGCTTGGCTGCTGAGCCGCCTTCAGCGCCTGTGGCTTGGGCAAAACGCTTGCTCCGTCTGCCGCTCCCTTACTGGGCTGGGCCTCCCTTCTCTGCAGCTATCAGTCTCCAAGTCAGCAGCCCCTTGGCAGCTCTAGTTTCCTAGTTAGGACTTCCCTTAACCATAAAAAGTGCTAAATCGCAGGCACCGAGGCAATAACCCCAAATGGTTCTTCTTCCTGGGACTCACAGTGCAGATCTGTCCTCCAAGGCCAGTCACTCAACAGCCCTCATTCTGCACCGGACGCCTCCTGAGAGGGGCCCACATAGGCCCCAGCAGTGGGGGCCGGGGTGGGAGGCCCCTGTGCCGACTGTGGCAGGGCCCTGTGGACTGAGGAAGAACCGCTGGCTGATGGCAGCAGACTCCAGCCGGAGGATGCTGGCCATCAGGTTTGTTTGGGGTCCCCTTCTCCAGGCAGAGGCCCCTCTCACTGCTCCCCAGCTGCAAAGACAGGGCCACCCGCGGAGCAGGATAGCACCAGGAAACCCTGGGCCTCTTCCTAATTAAACCCCCAGTTTGAAAAATCTGTCTGCACCTGCCCTTGTTGGAGGATTTTTTAGCTCTTGGCATTTGGGAAGCAGGTGATCGCTTCTCCATGGTTCACTCTCTTCCATTATCCTGATGGCCGCTTGGGGGCAGCGCCAGCTGGGGAAATAACAATGTTGGACATCGTCGTTTTGAAAGCTTATATTTTTAACAGTAACTTTTGGAAAAAGATTATTTTCATATTAACGTTCATGATGCGTGGACCATTTTCTACCAACAGTGATGCAGTTTGGCAAAGGGACCTCATGTTGCTACCGGTTTCTGACCAAAGGCCAGCAGTGGATCTGGCTGCAGACCCACTACTTCATCACCTACCACCAGTGGAACTCCAAGCCCGAGTTCGTCGTGTGCACACACTCGGTGGTCAGGTGCGTGGCAGGGGGCGGGGAGCCCCTGACCGCCTCAGGGAGGCCCAGCCCCTGCAGGCCCAGCCCCAGGCTGGAGTCTTCCCCTGGCCGGGCCTGCACTCTGCAGCTAGCGGAGTGATCACCCAGCTCAGCCCCATTCCAGCTCACACCCAGTTCTGCTCCCCAGCTCAGCCCTCCTCCCAGTGGTCGGTCAGGCCCTTCCAAGCTTGTTCAGTCTGCCGGAATATTACTTAGCAAGTTACTGCTTCACTGACCTACTTACATATTTCCCCCTCAACTCTAGCCATCCCCCAGCCTTCCCTGTCGCTGTTTTGAGAAGAAAATTAAAATGTTGCTCTAAATAACTTAAACACATAGTCCCCCGTATTTTTAATGCTTTAAAAACCCCTGCTGGCAACTGAGTCTGTATCAGGAAGAGAGCCAGGAGGCCAGAGGGCAAGGTTCCTGGGGCTCCCAGGGGCCTCGGGGAGCCCCCCGCCCGGTGTCAGGGAGCCAGACTCTGAGGAGGCAGCACCTCTAGCAGCTCATAGACGCTGCCGATGTAGGGTCCCAGCCCCCACAGGTATAGGAAAAATGTCATTTTTACCCCAACTATAAATTTTAAGAACATAAATCAGTTTTAAACTGATCTAGAGAGGAGCAATTGACGAGAGCAAAAAAGGAAAGGTTAAATGGACAGACATATGTGTATGTGCTGGACTTTATCCATACGCATCGCAGGCAGATGCCAAATAATGAAAGGCTGGCAGGTGCTAAATGCACACAGTAGATAATACCCATGCGTCCTGCGTTTTGTACATACACGTGATCGATGGGAGGGAGGGGGCAGAGGGATACAGATACACACATGTAGATGCCTTTCACATCTGTGCGTAGCAGGTAGGTGATAGGTAGGTAGGTGGACAGTTAGGGGCCTAGAGCTGTGCTTACACAGGCACATGCGTAGTCAACAAGTAAGTCGCCCTTCGAGAGTCAGCTGGGCGGAGAGCGGAGAGGAGGAATGCGAGCCCTGGCCCAGGAGCCTGCTCACCACCTTGCTTGCCCTCTGCAGGGACGATCTGGGCTCCAGGCCCACCTCTGGGCACTTTGGCAGCCAGTAGTTCCTGATTCCATGGCCAGCCCCGCCCGCTGCTGCCAGCCTGGGCCTTTCCCAGAGGGTCTTTGTGGCCCGGAGAAGGCCGGATATCAGCAGCAGCTTGTCCTCAGGCCCTGTCCTTGCCACGACTCTTCCTGTCCGTCCCCCGCCCCCACATCTTAGAAACCCTCAGAGCGGAAGGAGTGAAGGGAGTACACAGATAAGGGAGCAAGCAGACCCTCAGCCCCTGCCCCCCAGGGCCCCTGCCCGGCCGGCACCTCCGCAGAGGCCGTAGCCGGGTCACCACACTGACCTGATTTACCCGCAGTGTTTAAGGAGCCAGCCGCTGGGCCTGGCTGGTCTGGGTGTTTAGGAGAAAACGCTCTGAAGGCTGTAGTTACTAGAAAGGTCGGCGTCATTCTTAGGCACAGACCAGACCGAGTTTCTAATCACTTGAAGCTGAGGTTTCTCCTAGAGATGACAATGTGTTTGGACAGTGATGTTTGGAGGTTTGGGGGGTAAGTAAAGAAGAGAGTAAAACACCCTGAAAAGGAAGGTCCTCTGGACGTCACGACAGAAGTGAGCACAGCAGAGCTGAGGCGCGGAATGAAACTCCCTCCTCAGACGAGCAGCGGGACGAGCCCCTCGGGGGTGACTGTTCTGGGAGGGCAGGGTGTGGGGACCTTGGTGCGTCACCGGCCTCTGGGCGCTGTCACCCTGGATCCCGCCACCAGCTGTGGTCTCTCGATTTCCTGATTAGTTACTCGGATGTCCGGGTGGAAAGGAGGCAGGAGCTGGCTTTGGAAGACCCACCACCCGAGGCCATCCATCCTTCAGCACCAAAGGTAGGCTGATCCCCGCTGGGGGCGTATCATAAAAATAGTAATAAACACAGCAGGTCTTGTCTTACCAGCTCTGCTGTGTGGCCAGCACTGCTCGGGTGGTTCCCAGACGTTCACTTATTTCCCCCGTAATAAGTGTTCCTGCGAGGCGGGTGCTGGGGTGTCCTGGCCTTCTTCCTTGCATGAGGCCCAGGGCACACGAGGGTCGGCTAACACTCCTGAAAGCCCAGAGCTAGCAGAGCGGAAAACAGCCTCTGGAACCAAAGCATGGCCGGCAACCTTCTGGCCTTACAGGCATGGTTATAGAATTCCACTTTGCGTCTCTCCCACGGAAAGTTATTCCATCATCCTGAGGCGTGAAATAACCTCAGGGCCCCGTTCCTCCCTTAGCCTCTGTGCTGCAGTGCCTCCAGGACTCCCCGCCTTCAATGTGCACTTTGTACGTCTGTCTGGGGTCGTAACAGCCACTCAGGGAGCTCTCCTACCGAGCAGCTTTTCCTTCACAAAGCCGACCTCCTTCCTGCCCCCGGGCTAAGCTCCTGCCCCGTCCGCTGGCCAGGCTTCCCCGCCTCTGTAACGTGCAAGTAGACCAGAGCCTGCTCCTCAAAGGCCAGTCTCCAAGCAAACACAAATGTTGGAAGAAAAAGAGAGAAAGCAAGGAAGGGAGGGAGAGCTGCATTTCATCAAAACTAAGAAGCTATCCACTATAAGACCCACCATTATTCTGTCTCCCACTAAGAAAAAAATTCTGCCGTCGGTCTGTGAAATGCGGGTTTCTCTCACGAGCTGAAGAGCGCATCTCGAGTTCAGACATGTCAAACTGCCTTAGAACTGTCGAGATGCCACTCAAGCCCCAGGCCACCCGGCACCTTCGTTCCGGAGCCCGTGGCCAAGGCCGACACAGTAACAGCAGTCCCCAAAGGCATCCGTGGTCCCTCCAGGACCGAGTTGGGAGGAAGGAGAAGCCTCCTTTAAAGACCAGCCAACAGCCGGCAGCTCCGCAGGGCCCCCTGCTGGCTGCTGCCGGGGCGTGTCGGGCGATTCACCCTGGTGGGGCACCTGCCGCTGTCTGTGGGCGTGTTTATTCGCCAGCTGTCACCCGGTGCCGCCTGCGTCGTGTCCAGGAGCGGAAGTGAGCTGTCCCTGGACAGGTGCTGGACACCGTCCGTCGCCGCTGAAGGACGGGCGCAGTGGGTGACCTCCAGCCTGAAGTTCATTGTCGAACTTCTGACCCTGGAGGAGTCCCAGAGCCTGATGGAACTTCTTGGAAATGTGCATATATGTATAAATACACACACCCCTTCAAGGAAAAGCTCCAGGACAGTGCTTTTCAACCACCCGTGGTAACGCGACAGTTGGTTTTTTAATGTCAAATCTGTCACTGACAGGTTTTTGTAAATGGCAGATCCCCGTGCTCGAATGTGACGTGTGGTGACACCGAANGGTTGGTTTTTTAATGTCAAACCTGTCACTGACAGGTTTTTGTAAATGGCAGATCCCCGTGCTCGGATGTGACGTGTGGTGACACCGAAAGTCTCAATACTGATTCTCACTTCCCGCGCTCATTTCTCTGCGGACCAGGAGCACACAATTCTCAAACGGCTGTGGGCCAGGGTCTGATCGAGGGGAGACTGACCAAGCAGTGGAGTCTCCAAACTGGCACTTAGCACAGCCAGGCTCGCCCTGCGATTCTGCTCACATGGAGGCCTGCGGGTCACAGCCTGAATGCTGCAGCCCCCCTGAGCCCGAGCACAGCACCCGCCCTCACTGCAGCCACGGCTCATGGACAGAACAGCCATGTGGACCCACAGGAGCTACTCCCTGAGAGCGAGACCGCTGGCACGACCAGCCCGGCCGGGGGCCCAGTGGGCGCCAGGAGTTTCACACCTTCTGAGACGAGGCAGGAGAGCCACCGTCACGCTTCTTCTTCAGCTTAAAGATGATTCTACCCATTTCCTTATACTTACGCTTTCTCACCACACTGTTTGAGGCAGAGCACTGCTAGGAGCCAGCATCAGTTATGATCCAGGGGCCAAAGGACAGGGGACCATTGCCCTTTGCGCCTCTGCACTCAGAGCCCAGAGGTGCAGGGAGGAGCCCGTGGAGGGAGAAGGGCCCCAAGGCGTTTGTTTCACTGGGGTGTTACAGTCCTGTACCACAGCAGCCTTATTTCTAGGACCTGCTTCTTTCCCACCATCTTGGGCAGTGAGATGACAGCTTTAAGGAAAAAATAAAATGCAAAGTCACTTACAGAAATCTAAAAATTAAGACATAAGGTGAGAAAGTGTAATAACTGCTACTTTTAAGCTACAAGCCTCTCCAAGATGATATTCATAACGATATGTAAGGATTCCACCCAAGTGGGTTTCGTATTATCCCCCAACAGCTACCAGATCCCTCCCAGCAGCCTCTGCATTTTCCTACGTATGTGGTGGGGAACTAAAGTCACGGAATCCGCCTTCGCCATCCCGGCGCCGCTGTGCACTGTGCTTGTGTTTCAGGACCAGGGCTCAAGCCTGGAGCCGCAGCAACACTTCAGTGCACCTGACGTGGGCGCCTCAGGCCTTCACACAGGCCTCTCGTCATCAGCGTCCTCGAGAAGTTCCCGTGAACCCCCCCACGCAGCCGTGTCAGAACCCGCATGTGAGTGCGAGGCCACGGCGGGGGAGGTGCGGGGCAGAGCCCGCAAAGGTCCCCGGCCCGAGCAGGAGGGCCCCGAGTGGGCCTGAGGAACAAGCCAGGGCCGGGGCCTGAGCACAGGAGCGGGGCTCGCTCGGGGCCTGTGGAGCCGGAGCACGGCACTCTGCCCTCCCAGCCTGCACCCCGTCCCGCGGCCTTCCTGCCTCCCGCCCCGAGCTGCCCCAGTGCCGCGCGAGGGAGCCGGACGGGACACACAGGCCAGCGACCCGGCTCCGTTTCAGTAACTCCGCTGCGGTGTGCGGACAGGCGGGCACTGCAGCAGGGGTGGCCGTGAGGCTGGGGTGGTCCGCGTCCTCCCTGCTCCCGGGCCGGGGGCTGGCGGGCTGTGGCTCTGGGCCCCACCTGGTCCCGCCGGGCACCCTTCACCAGAGGCGGCAGTCCAGCCCGAGGGTCGCACGCCCCAGGGTCATGCACCCTCCTGATAAGGAAGCTGTTCGGGGCGTGTGAGCCAGGAAGGTAACCTGTCCCTCTCTTCCAGCCGCTCCAAGCACGCTGATGGCAGAAGCCAGCACCGCGGCGGCGCCCAGAGCGGCGCCCCGGCCCAGAGAGCTCGGCCCGGCAGCCACTGCGCCGGTACGTGAGCGACCCGCCTCTCAGCCAGGGCGTGCTGCTCGGCCGGCCGAGCCACAGACAGTGCCGCACCGCCCAGAGAACCGGCTCTGCTTGGAGACAGCGTGGGGGCCGCGGGCGGGGTGGGAAGCTAGGCGGTTTCTTTGGCAACTAATTTTAAATATTTTCATACCAAAATTAACATGGATGTATATATTCCTAAAGTGCAAAATCCAAATGAGTTTTAAAGATAAAGCTTAAAACTTCAAGCCTGGGGTCACACGCCAGAGCCCTGGGGGGACATGATAGGACCCTCCTGTTTTGGATCCCCTTTTCCTCCGGCGGAAATGTTTGAGAAGCTTGGTTGTCAACAAAAATGGGCCTCTGCATACAGCAGGCAGTGTTCTTGGTACACGCTTCCTCTCCAGGGCGTCGGGCGATACTCCGGTCACCTAATGCCACGCAGCAAGCCATGTCACACTGAGGGACGTGGCCACTGTCATTCTTCATGTCCACGGACCCTGGGTCGGGAATTGAGAGAGGGCCCCCTGGGGATGGCTCTTCTCAGCTACAGGTGTCGAGGCCTCACCAGCCGGGCTGGGAACCCTACCCCAGGTGCCTGCACTCACGTGCCCCTCACCTGGGCTGGCCCAGCTAAGACTGTCCACCACTGACGGGCACAGGCCTGTCCATGCTTTGGGCTCCTTTGGCACAGTGGCTGGGTTCCCCGAGGGAATGCCTGGAGAGGGAGCTCTCCACGAGGGCCAGGCAGGGGCCCCAGGGCGCTCTGACCTTGCCTGGGGCGGGCACAGCAGCTCCACTGACCCTCCTCCTGCCCTCTTGGGTCAAAGCAGTCACAGACCCACCCATAGAGAGGGACACAGACCTCTGCCTCTAGACAGGCGACGTGTCAGGAATTTTAAGGGCCACATCCAGACAGTTGCCAAATACCTCACACCCATCTTTTGCTGACATTTTGGAGATGGGAGTAAATGTGCCACCTCCCTGCCTGCCGTCACCACGAAGATTATGTGCACGCTGCGTGGAAAGCGTGAGTGACACGTTCTTTTCAAATAGATTATGACAAAGACCACTTTCTTCCCACGCCAGACGGGCCATCTCCTCCCAGCCGTGCCCCGGACACAGTGGGAGAACCAAAACCAGTCCTTGGTTTACCCCTGTGCCTGGGATTCTCACTCAAAACAAAGTCTCCTCTTGTCATTTCCTCCCCACGTTGTCCCAAAGGCACTGTCCACTGGGGCTGCTTTTTATAGTCCTGAGGGAATAGGGGGAGTTTGGGAATAACTTCAGAACACTTTTACTTTTATTAATTTATTTTTATTGTTGACACAATTACAGATGTCCCCTATTCTCCCCGCACTTACCTGACCCACCGCCGGCCTTCCCCACACTATTGTCTGTGTCCATGGCTTATGCATATAAACGTACAAGTTCTTTGATTAATCCCCCCCGACTCCCCCACCTCCCCTCTGAGGTCCCTCAGTCTGCTCCATGCTTCCATGTCTCTGGACCTATTCTGCTCATCAGTTTATTTTGTTCTTTAGATTCCACATGTAAGTAAGATCATGTGGTGTTTGTCTCTCTCTGCCTGGCTTATTTCACTCAGCATAATACTCTCCAGGTCCCTCCATACTGTCCCAAAGGGCACGAGATTCTTCCTCTTTACAGCTGTGTAGTGTCCATGGTGTGAATGTCCCCCAGCTTTTCATCCATCAGCTACTGGTGGGCACCTGGGCTGTTTCCAGATCTTAGCTGTTGTAAACTGTGCTGCTATGAACATAGGGGAACATAGATTCTTTCTGATTAGTGTTTCAGGATTCTTNACATAGATTCTTTCTGATGAGTGTTTCAGGATTCTTAGGATACATTCCTAGGAGTGGGATCACTGGGTCAAGAGGCAGCTCCATTTTAATTTTTTGAGGAACCTCCACACTGTTTTCCACAGTGGCCGCCCCAGTCTGCACTCCCACCAGCAGTGCACCAGGCTCCCCTTCCCCACACCCTCGCCAGCACTTGTAGTTTGGTGACTTGTTGATGGAGCCATTCTGACAGGTGTGAGGTGACACCTCATTGTGGGTTTAATTTGCATCTCTGAGGATTAGTGACTTGGAGCATATTTTCATATGTCTCTTGGCATCTGCATGTCCTCTTCGGAGAAGTGTCTATTCAGGTCATCCATCCATTTTTTAATTGTTAAGTTGTATGAGTTCCTTATATATTTTGGATATCACCCTTTATCAGATGTGTCATTGATAAATTTGTTCTCCCACACAGTGGGCTCTGTTTCCTTTTGTTGATGCTAAGGGTTTCATTTTTTATATACATTTTCTTCCCACCCACCCAAGTGATCAGAGAACAAGTTCTGTCACTGACATGACTTCCCAGGAGTCTCTCTAACAGATTCCAGGCAGAGTCTAGAAAATTGCACCCAATATTCACTGCCCAGATGCATTCATGGACATAGATGTGCATGATGTGTCTGTCTGTCTACATTAGTGTTGAGCAGAAAGGGTAAAGTCCACATGCAAAGCCAACACTGCTTACCAGTACAACCTCATTCATACTACTCATTGACACTGCTAAGAATTTATCAGATTGGGAGAAGAGCAACTTAATCCACCAAGAATGGAATCTGGACAGGAGGCCCGGGAGGGGAGGTGGCACAGAGCTGCCGATCTCCAGCAGGCAGTAGCAGCTTTGCAGAGCACGCTCTGGCAGAAGGCATCATGCACCCTGAGTGATCCCAGAACCTTGCTCAAGGACCACCTGCACCCTGCACCTGCCTGCTATCCCACCTTTCCCAGGAAACACAAATGTTTGCCTTCCAGAAGTGAGCTCTTCGCTCTAGTACAGACAGGCCTCCTTTAAGCCAGGAAATTCAGCCAGCTAAGAGACAGAACCCCAGTACCTCTGTCACAGTGCAGAAGCAGTGTCTGTTAACAGAACCCTCTCTTCCCCAGGCTCCCCTGTCTGTCTCATCATCCTGTGACCTTTCACAGCAGCTCCTGCCTCAGACTATTTTGCAGAACCTACCTGTCCCCCTGGCACAGGTGAGTCTGGGACTGGGGGGCAAGGGGAATCTGGCAGTGGGAATTCCCCAAGACAGAGTGTATGGTGTCCTCTTGAGTGTGGGGGTGCATTGGTGCTAATGTGTAGCATGCACTTAGGTACCAAGGTGCAGGCAGAGCCTGTTGAGCTACAGACTTTTTTCCACATCTGTCCCGCTCACCATTCTCATCTCCAGAGGCATTCTCTTTGTTGTTTTCTCCAGTATCTGTTTCTCAGTCTTTTAATCTTTGTTCATCTCCCTGCCATTTATCTGTATTCCTCTCATTTTTTATGACTCCAAATTGGCCCTGATATTTTAGAAAAGGTCTGAATTAGGCCAAATATCATAGGAAAACTGAAAGGCTGTAAAAGCTGTGAGTCAAGTACTGTAAATATCACATTTGTTTTAAAAAAGGGAAGTGGTCATGGCTTTGCTGAGTAGCTCCTTCCTTGTCTCAACAACAGTCACGAGTTACTGTTTGAGTCTGTCTGTGAGCTAGTGCAAGGGATGCAGAGATGCTTGTTACATAGCCCCTGTTCTTTGTACTGAGTTTAACTGAAAGTTGGGCATAGAAGAGAGAAACCACCACGGCAGGGCATGTGTTTTTATACAACCAGTAGGAAAATATTCTGCCTAGGAAAGTCCAATGTACCTTCCCAGAGAAGGTGACACCTGAGCTGGGCCTGGAAGGATGGGTAGAAGGTTGCCAAATGAAGAGGTAGAGGGTCAGCAGGGAAGTGGGACCCAGGTGTGTGCTTCAGCAGGGAGTTTTGAAGTGTCTGACGTGCTTGAGGTCTGGTGAGACATTGAACATATGCCCCATCAGCAGTGGTCTCGAATGTCCCTGGAAAGGGAAGGACGTGCGAGCACACACTTCTTCCCAGGGTCAGGTTTGAGTAAAGATATGAAAGCTACTCACTTAGAGTCAACTAGTTAAATAGTCTGTATTCATCCCCATTAGGGAAAGAAATAAAGGGCTTGTTTATGTTCAAATTTGATAATGAAATTTTTGCCTATTTCAATCCAAAGGTACATGAAATGAGAATCCCTTTAACTTCTTGGTCTTTCTTAGTCAGGAATTTCTTTGTTTTATAATAGATATATAATGGGTGGTTAAGGCCCTTTGGGAATTCTAATTTTTCATTTACTGAACCTCATTTTAATGAACGGTAACAGTTCTTAGTCCATTAGGCATATTATATTTAATAAAGACTGAATTCTTTAGGACAGTGTTGCATAGTGCTGACCTTTCAAGCCCTGCAGTCCTTCTCATACCTACCCATGTGCAACATGAGTTCTACAGTTTTCTCTTTCCCTCACTGAGGTTCTCCCCTTGTCAGGAAAAGGGGGGGAAACAATCCAAAATCTAGAAAGTGGTTATCTGGGAAACTGTTGGTTTTGCTTCATGCTGTGTTTCTAAAACGTCTCTAAGTTGGAGTAGCTCTCTGTATGGAAAAGGCCCTGATCTTGAGCATAATGCTTGGTTGTCTTGAATGCCTTGAGAAAATAAGAATCGCACTAGGAGTAACACGAAACGCAGTGCTGGCCCCGGAGGGCTGCCCAGGCTTCTCAACCCAGAAAGTCTGTGCTGCATGTGCCAGGAGTATCCCTGAATATGTCTTGGCTTTCGAGAACTTACCACAGAAGGTTTTGTGTTTTGTTTTGTAAATATGTTTTTATTGACTTTTTAGAGAGAGAAGAAGAGGGGGAGAGAGAGAAACATCAATGAGAGAAAAACATCCATCAGCTGCCTCCTGCAGGCTCCGTCCTGGGGATTGTGCCCTGACCAGGAATCGAACCAGTGACATCCCAGTGCATGGGACAGTGCCCATCCAATTGAGCCACGCCGCCCAGGGCATTGTGTTTTGTTTTTTAAATTAAATATCTGATCTAGTTTGTTTTCTTTCTCAGTCAAATTCTTTTTCAAAATCCCAGCTGAGTGCTCTGATTACTTACCTTCTACTGAAGATTTTGCGATGCTGCCTGGTCTAGTGTAGGTACTTTAAACTCACCCCCCATTCCACGGTGCACCCTCTCCATGGGCCCGCGTGGGAGCAGATAGGTTACAGCGAGCAGAGACCACCTGCAAGAGTTCCCTAAAGTCAGCCTCAGCCGCAGAAAGGGATTCGAAGGCGAAAGGAAAGGGAGACAGTGCTCTTGACAAGGCAGATACCAACGTCCCTCCTAGGTCCCCTCTGTCAGTGCTACACGGACGGGGTGAATGCTGGGCGATGTTTATGCCTCTCCCTTGTTCTGTCTTTGCACAGATTTCTAAGAAAAGCCTAGCTGAAGTGAGCCCGGGCGGGGGGTGACAAGGACTCCCTGGCCCGGGCTGGCTGGTTGGAGAGCAGGGCTTGGTGACCTGTGCCGTCAAGTTCAAGCTCTTGGGGAGCAGTTACGGAAGAGCCCTGCCCTCCAGGACCAGGTTCAGGATAACGAGCGATAGGACCCGAAAGGGCCTGTGCAATGTCCCCTGCAAATCTTCACGCCCGAGATGAGAGGGGGGAAGGGGGGGGCTGTCAGGCGCCCTGCTTCTGAATTCTTGTCCAAGACCATGTGTCCGTCTGATGAAATCTGAACTCTCTGTGTAAGCGTTGCTTGCAGAAGCTTGTCGCGCTCTGGGCCCTTCCAGGCGGCAGAGTCGTAACCAGGCCTGCGGCTGGTGGGCCCGAGGCGAGCACACGGGGCTGCGGGGACGCCCAGCCCGGCCCCCAGCCCCTGCTCTGGCCACGGTGGCTCATCGGGGACTGAGAGGAGCGGAGAGGGGACAGAAATGGAAGTGGGCAGGACCGCTCAGAGGACAGCAGGGTGTCTGCACAGCGGAAATAACCCTTTCACCCGGTTGTTTCCACCTCCACCTCGAAGCTGCCGGCGCCGGCCAGCGTGTTCCAGACCCTCCGGGACCAGCTGGAGCAGCGGACGCGGGTGCTGCAGGCCAACATCCGGTGGCAGCAGGAGGAGCTGCACAGGATCCAGCAGCAGCTGTGCCTGGTCCAGGACTCCAGCGTCCAGGTGACGCCCTGCCCTCCCGCTCTCGCTGCGTCCGGACCACCCTCCCGGCGCAGGGCCCTTCTTCCCGGCGCGGCGCGCAGCCTGGCGGGCCCTG